TAGCACTGTACAACCAGCTTCAGTCTGGGCTAGTACAAGCAGCCGCACATACACATACACACGCATGCACGTCGCCATATGAGCGAAATATTCTCAAGTACGACGTTAAACAGAATTTCATTTTACCCCACCTCACCTCACCTCACAAATACATTGCACATTGAAACGATGTTTCATAGTTTTACCTTTGCTAATGACTGATGTATAAGCCGATATTCATATTAAATCAAAGTCTGTGTGTGTTACAGTGTCCGGTCAAGACTCCAACTGCCACCAGGACTGTACTTTAGGTAACGTTGATATCATTGTTTTGATTACAGGTGGTAGGGCAGGTCGTGATTACAGTTTACATCTGAATTTCAGTTACCTGTTCATAAAATATTTTGCCTATAACAGCAAACAGAATATGTTTTGTCAATGATTCACTAGAATACTTAATGTGCTCTCAAATGGCGTTGCTATGTATTTCACTATTTGTATCAGCACATTAAATTTACGCCTTGACATTTACTACTTCTTACCAACATGTAGCAGCTTTTGTATTCAGTATTTTTCCTGATGTCATTCAACAAATAGGGGAAGAATGTTGATATCGATGTTTTGTTCACGGCGCACATCTGGTCTTCAGTGATCCATTCATATAATTGACAGTATCACTTTGCCTATTGCAGCTAAAGAATTCCATTTAGTCAATGAATCAATATAAAACCTAATTCCCATTCAAATCGTCACTAGTGTTATATTGTTTATATTTGCACATAAGTTAAAACAGTCACTTCTTGTTGACAACAAGAGTACAACTAGTAGACGTATTTGTAAACAAGGTGTCATTCAGCACAAGATATGACATGTATAAACGACTTTACGTTTTTATCATGAGTGAGTGAGTTAAGTTTTACGCCGCACTCAGCAATATTCCAGCTATATGGTGGCGGTCTGTAAATAATCGAGTTTGGACCAGACAATCCAGTGATCAACAGCATGAGCATCGGTCTGCGCAATTGGGAACCGATGACATGTGTCAACCAAGTCAGCGAGCCTGAGCACCCGACCCGTTAATCGCCTCTTACGACAAACATAGTCGCCTTTGGTGGCAAGCATGGGTCGCTGAAGACCTATTCTACCCCCATCTTCACGGGTCTCGTTTTTATCATGCCTCATGTCCGGAAAGCATAAAACAATAGCAATATGCTAATGCTGAAAGGTTATGCATGTTAAAGGCATTTCAACTGGAAAGGAAAACCTGAAGAAACGGCATAATATAAAATTCTACGACCAGTAAGTAAAATAATTCCTATCTGCCATGCGATGGTGTTGTGTAATGTACATTAACATACTACAGATAATGACACTGTTTATTATTACAGTGAATATAGCAGCTAGTAACTTTACATCTGGGGACAACATTACTTACACCACCACCGGGCAGGCATCCTTGGTTACTGATGGTGTGACGTCAGGGCCGTGTGCATCAGTCTCGTCCATATTCCCAGCATGGGAGGCGGAGTTTACACAGAGCAGGACAATAACCAGGATAAAGATATTCACGGAGGGTACTGCGTCATCAGAAACACAAAATAACGAATGCGTACTAATACGGACAAAATTAATAGTACTTATACTGACAAGGTCTTTATATCAGACAAGTACTTTATATGAGACATCTGAAACATTAATTGACCAGCTATTATGTTACAGCAATGCTAAAAAAACACCCGAATCTGTGTTTAATGTAAGGTATTTGGTTCATTCTTCTCAACATATTCCAGATCAACAGGATGACGTAGATGTGTCTGTAGATGGAAGAATATGTCACACTGCGAACTCTTCCTACATGTGGGAACCAGAGTACACCCTGGAGTGTGATGTACCCGTGACGGGGATCCATCTCCGGATATATCGCCAACCTACAGCTAGGATGCTGAATCTGAGTTTCTGCGAGGTGGAAATATACGGTACTAGAAATATATGTATTTGCTTAAACCACTCAACGGTGTTATCAACGTTTGACTTGATTCTGAATAACGAAATACCTACACACCTATCTTCAGAGGTTCAGGACACTTTGTGGGGCGGTAGGGTAGCCTAGTGGTTAAAGCGTTTGCTCGTCACGCAGAAGACCCGGGCTCGATTCCCCACATGGATACAATGTGTGAAGCCCATTTCTGGTGTCCCCCGCCATGATATTGCCGGAATATTGCTAAAGCGACGTAAAACTAAACTCACTCACTCAGGACACTTTGTCAATAATGAAAGCAAATGTCATTGGAAGTTTACAGAGAAAACAATGTATGAAATATTTCACATTGATAACACCTTTGTAAAATTTAGGGTAAAACATTTGGCCATGAAGTAGACATCCCCATGGGCACCAATTGTTTCATGGTAGACAGGGGGAGGAAATCTCCAAATTTGATGCATCAGTGAAAAAAACAATGTCCGATGCAATTTTGACATATACCATACGTTCCCGAATTATGCAACTGACTAGGCTTAGCATGTGTTTATGACGGGTGCCACCGGTGGGGCACGATACGCTCATCTTTTTACGTGAACACCTTGTATAACCACTATTTCATAGTGATTCATGGACACATGCTCTGTCATAGTATCGCATGGCAACAATCGCTGGATTGTCTGGGCCAGAGTCGATTGTTTACGGCTGTGATACTGCTGATACAAGTATATACTCTTGATTTAGTCACATTTGTACAAACGACTCTTCTTTAGCAGAGACCTTTTGTGAATGTGAAAAGGTTTTGTCGCTTCTATTGATGAATAGCAATATATAATATTGTCAAAAGATGCAGAATATTCTTAATATCAAGACTAAAGCTATACACGTCATACGATCGTAGTCACGATATGGCTGAAATATTGCCGATGTGAATTTTATTCGTGATTTTTCACTCTTTCACTCATGAAATCATGAGATCACTCACTTATGACATCACTCATGAGATCATCAAATGATAACATAAAACGTCAATGCAAAAGAATACCCAGTTTTGACTATTGTCAGAAACAAATTCCGAAAACAGAAAGTTACAAAATATCTGTTAAAATTATATAAGATGCTCGCATAAAGGATAATCATGTCCTGCTCTACCGGTAGCACCCGCCACTCACAAACCTGTAAACTATTTTGTTGTGTTACACTGCACAGCAGTACTCATGCGCCTGTGAACAAACCAGACAAACAAAACAGACCTCGACTTGGGTGTACCTAGTCTGAATATACGAGACGTTCACCAACACCACCAGGACGCTGGCTTTAATGGGGTGTTATAGAAATGTGTTCTGGTCAAACTTGAGGATATCTGACACCAACGTTAGATGAAATCCATCTGACTGTGTGTGCGGTTGTATATCTTCACGATATCTGAATCAGTATCATTAGCCAACGCTTAAGGTCTGGTTAAGTATATTGATGTACTGTCGACTGCAGACACTTTACTGCTTCCAAATCAGACACATGTGTAGCATTAGAAATACCTTCCATTCAAGCTACGTATCAATATAGAAAGATATGCATGTTTCTTTAGCTGTGCCGCTGGAAACGCCCTCTTCAATGTCTTCTTCCACAACTACTACCATGCCAACAACATCCAAGACATTGTCTACGACAAAAGTGACTACTTCACCAATAGGTACAGCGTTCACTGTACTACTGCACTAACACCCAACACAATGGCAACACCAACAACAACAACATCACACCCATCCGGAAACATCCACGCCTACATCTGGCGCAGCGGGTAAAGGAAGGATGTATATGTTTGGGTGTGTTCTTCAAAGACGAACGGGTTAAATTCTTGCAGGTTGTAGTTCTTGTCAAAGCAGAGGTACGAGCAGTCAATAAGCAGTTTAAATCTCACATTGATATTGCATGTATTGAATCAGACTTGGAGAAGGATTATCGTTACACGTGACAATTCAACAGCAGAATTTGTAAGTGCATGTTCACATGTCATTAATGAAATAAACATCAGTTAAATTGTATACTCGGCCAAAACTATGATAATATGTCTCTTCGAGTCTTTCACTATTGTTATTCACTGCAGATGATCAAGACTGATTTATATCGCTGGCCTGTTGTGTTTGTATTACATTGTGGGTACCACATCACGCTTGTAATTATAATATGTATATCATACTCGCAGGTACGCACATAAGAAGAAAACACTTTTCACCATTTACTAATTATGTATACTTTGAGGTTATATGATTAAGAATCACGCTGTTCATATGTAAGGTGCTATTGCAAAGGGGAAGTCATTTTAGTATATAAAGTCAGATATATTTCTCAGCAGGCGTAAAATACCTCTTTCGATTCTGGAGGAGCAGTAATCAATCACATTATGCTGCATGGTAACGGGTGCAAAAGTTGTTTGTGTTCTAGCTAAAAGAAGCATGTCATTGTTGAAAGGATATCAATGCGGCATAGACATGTCTGTTTCACATATAAACATTTAAATGTTATATGTATTAATATCTAATGGGTTTGATTTCCTCGCTTGAATGTATCTCTACATTTTCAGAGTCCCCTGATAACAGGTTCCCGTTACTATACGTCATTGTCGTTGGTGTGGTGGTTGCTGGTGTCGTCACTGTTGCAGTTGTTGCTATTGTGTGTGTGAGGTATGGTGCAACTATCAACAGTTCGTAAACTATTATGCTCTTGATACAAATGTTGTATAAGTTATGATAACAGAGCATACTAAAAGGCTTCGCTGAAATATTAACCGGGATAGGCTAATCTCAAAAATCTGTTTTCATTTGCTCCCCTTGACAATGATAACATCAAAACATCCTGACGCAAAAGTCTTCCTGAACTGGAAATAACTATACTTTCACTGCACATTTAGGCAGAGGAAACAATGGCATAAGTACCTCTGTTCTATCAGAGGAATTTGGTTTGGTCGTTTCACCTGAACCGGGTTTTCAAATATTGTTTGGAAGCACCATTGTAAAGTCATATTCATAATTCGATGTTTCAGGAGACGGAAAGGGAAAAGGCCCCAAGACAAGAACGCTGAAGAAGCAGTTGTGCCATCTTATGAAGAGTGCATAGCGGAACCCGTCGATCATACTCGGTACCAGAACATACAAAGCCACAGAACACTTAGAGGATGGTCAGATCAAGGATCCATTTATGTTAACACGACAACAACTACCAGTCTTGAGAACATTTCTGAAAACGAATGCACCTATGTCAACAACGAATACGTTAATGATCAGAATGTGTCAACAGGAACATCATGCTATGTCAACGTTGGTTCTAATAATCAAGACATCGGTGAAGCGGGAGAATCAATCATGTATGTTAATACTAATGATTTTAGTCTGTACAAAAATACCCCAAATATCCTCACTTAAGATTGGTGCCTGCTGTCGTTCAGGTGAAAAATAACTCGCATGGAGCTATTAACGTTGCGGTATCTTCCGTTAAGACCATCATATTCTAGTACTTTGCCCATATGGGCGAGGGTTATGGAAGGACAAATTAGAAGTGATCACATTTTCGAACACTTAAAATAATTCATTGACATAATGTTTTTGGAAGTGGGATGTTTTGGTTTTTCGAATCCTAATCCAGCCCTCTGTGACAACCACCAATAATAACTTAATGATTCAATATTCAAAGTTCAAAACACCTTAGAGTCAGTAGAGGCCAGATCTGGTGAACCTCGACGAAGAGGTTCGTTCCAACAACACCGCACATAAGTGTGACAACGTCCCGCTAATTCTGTTTTAGAACTCCTTTCCATCACATGTTCATGCACTCATATAATACTTATAAAGCTTAATAAAATGGTAAAAGTGGTGCGTTTGTACACGGTACCATTTAACGAAAATGTAACATGAGAGCGTTCAATAAGACATATTGCACGTGTAATGAGCGTTTTATGAATAAAATCATTGTTCAACTCCAATATCCTTCATATTCTATCTTCCTTGTCCATAGTGTTGTTTATCACTGGCTTGAAACGTCGCACCCACTGCAATAAAGATGTTATCCATAAAATAATTGTTCCTGTTCGGCTTCCAAAAGATGTTAAATGAACATGGAAAATCCAGAGTCTCGCCTTATTCCTATTTCATTTTAAAGAGTACGTGATACCGGTTTATGGTATTATCTTTCTTGAGTGTAAACCTAATTCCGTATGTCCCAAAATAACTTGTGAACATCCACTGATGTTATGTGATTATTTACTCATTTCAAAATGTAGCATAAAACAAATACTTAAAAGGTTTTGGTACTTAACATTTTAGCCCTTAAAGGCACACTATCACGTCACACTTCTCTAAAAATCAATATTGCATTTCTCTCATTAATAACTGTAACTATCAGCCCCCAGCGAAACTACTATATACTTTATTCCGAAAAATATTACGTTTTACAATTTGAAATTTAAAAGTTCAAATGAATTAATGCAACATTGCATTAGATCGACTCTCGCGCCCTCTACCGACCGACCGTTTTTTCAAGCGAACCTCATAAAGTTATGTCCCTTGGAACGCTCGTTACGATTATCCTAGTAAGCAACATGTGATTGCGGAAAAAACACCGACAACACCGCGTGCGACAGTTTTCGGCAGTGCGACAGTTTTCGATATGTCTAAAGTTCTAGCACTGATATCGACGCACTTGACTGCCATTCACGCTTTCAGGTCATTGCCAAGTAAGGGGTAGTCTAGGCTCTATGGTTATCATATCAGGGTTGGGTAGCTCTGACACAAAGGTCAAGTGAAGTGTAACAGTTGCAACAACACGGAAAAACCTGTCACATTGTAGCTTGTGCTTGACGTGCGTCAGGAGGCATTCAGGCTATTCGTGAACTCATGATGCCTATACTGATACTCAGTGATTTACTCTACTTTGCTGTTAACACCAAGTGGAATATATTCCGTTTGATACCCGAGACTGGTTATTGTCAGGCATTGACGTCACACGTTCATCATCCATCTGCCCATGTACTACTGCATTGTGAAGGAGTGCGTACTGATTTGTGACCTGCAAACAACGCCCGTTGTACCATGCTTGTCAGTGTCCTCCTCTAACAGTTATTAAGTATTCTCTGGGATGTTATCAGTTGTTACAGTAGCTGGTGTGGCAGTTGAGGCAGTTATGGGAGATGCCCCAAACTGTAGTGACACCTCTTTGCAGATCATGCCGTTAGTGACAACATCTCATGTGGTAAATACCCGATGCACTTATTTACAAATATCAGAGTTATAAAATACTGGTTAAAATTACTGAAGATGCCTTCTTATAGGCTACCAAAGAAATGTTACAATATGATGATGCTATTCGATAAAAATGGACACACAAATTGGGTTTCTGCTGTTAGACATTTTCTATTCTCGAAAGGGTTTGGTTTTGTATGGAACGATCAGTATGTTGATTCTGAGGGTAAGTTTATTTTAGAACTAACACAAAGATTAAAAGATATCTACTTGCAAGAATGGTTTGAAAAGATATCACTTTCCAGTAAATATCTGTATTATAAGGTGTTTAAATGTACTTTTGACTCCGAAACTTATCTTTCATGTCTAAACGTAAAAAAAGTATAGGATAGCGTTAAGCAGATTGAGATGTTCTTCACATGATTTATCTATCGAAAGTGGAAGATTTAAAAATGTCAAAAGAAAATAGAACTTGCAAACTATGTGATCTTAACCAAATAGAAGATGAATATCATTTTCTTTTAATTTGCCCTGCTTATAATTCCATCAGAAAGTTGTATATTAAGAAATATTATTGTGCCCATCCAAACCTTTATAAATTCTCAGCATTGTTGAATAACAAAACCCATACTATACTTTAAAACTTGTCCATGTTTGTTTACTATGCCATGTTGTTTAGGACAGAATATATCTCAGAACACAATGTAACCTAAAGTTGATTATTTTCCCTTCTTCATGTATATTATCCGTGCGTGTAAATATTGATTTATAAATGCATTGTACTACAGGCCTGTGGCCTTTCAGTACCGAAATAAATATATATATATATATATACGACAACATCTCTTCATATACTCATGCCACATACTTTTTAAAAAGTAGGGGAACCTGAAGTATCAATTTGGATTGGAAGTATAAACTTACAAGACATACGTCTTATGAAAGCACCACAATTTTCCTTATCACCACCCATGGGATGCACGTGACATGCACAACGCAGTAGCCCGATGCACGTCCATTGGGTGGCATACTTGATTTTGACGGTTTTCAAGCGGGTCAATAAATCTCTGTAGACCATTAATTTTGACAATCATGTTGCATCACAAATTTGTTAGTGTTTCATCCAGCCTGTATGTTTTGTTTGAAGATGAAAATTGTACACATGCAAATTTCATGTCATGCACCAATATTTTTTTCAAGAGCGATTACTGTACAAACATTCCTCATAAGGAAGTGCAAGTGGTGATACACCCTCAAAACATCCATAATAATAATATAATCATTGATTGACTCCGATATATCTCCCACTTTCTTCAATAGTTAATTAAAACTGAAGTTCCCCGACTTTGTTTTGAGGAGTACATTACTTATCACGAGGAATGTTATCACAGTAGACCCGCACGCATTTTCCTGTAGACACAAAGGACGATTATTCAGATATCAATCATATCTCAGTCAGTTTAGAAATAATTGTATAAAAGCGACATACTCCATTCTATAATGCACCGACTACATCACAATCATCTGTTTAAGAATCACCATCAAGCAGGGATCACACTTCTGAACACTCTGTCATTGAACGGCGGATTTAATATTCATTTTTCTGAACTAGGCAATTATTGTATTTATACACCATATCATAGCATATACCCGACCTGGCTTAATGTACCTTTTGTAGTACACATAATGTGTACAGTATATTAACAGTATATAGCAAAATTTATCTTCTGAATGATGTGTGACTATGTTTCACGCACATATATTTACCAACAGAAAGAGTGAGCTTCACTGGTGAGGTTGTAGTGTCATTTCTGATCTCGTCTCCTCTTAATGAACTTAATGGTATGGTCTCTAAGGATGAATTCATTTCATGTCATACTCAACCAATGTGGAACCATGGTTACCCAGAACGCCATTGCTTACCTGATTCTGACGCTTGTCTGGAGCCTGCAAGGTGAGCTGTATACATCTGCTACACACATAAATCTGGTGCCAATGATGAAATACCTACATTCCTAGAACCTGAAACATGGCCATACACAAACAATTTAGAATAAACATGTGCAGTGACAATTGCATTGGATTCACAGAGGAATGCTTTGAAAGCAAATGTTTCTGAGAATGACCATTATATTAACCATTTAATCATCAGATATTCATATTGACCCAAAGCCTCTGTACGTTACAGTGTCCGGTCAAGTCTCCAACTGCCCCCGGGACTGTACCTTAGGTAACGTTGATATCGAAGTTTTCATTAATTGTTATAAGAACTTTCTCACTTGCTTTTCACGGCCAACGGAATATGTTTTGTCGCTAAACCACTCGAAAACTTATCTCGTTGCCAATATACTAGGGTTTATAGTTCACAATTATGTTTTCGTATAGACAAGAGTGTAAGTAGGAGAGTTAGTATTTAGTATTTAACAAGATGTCTTTCAACAAAAGGGGCAACACACTGTAACGAAGATGATGTTGGAAACAATACAATACTTCTTCGATCTAATGGACAGATGCTGAAAGGTGACGCAACATATTTTAAAGATTTAAACAACTTTGATGACAAATCAAAGAGAAAGAACATTCTCTGGATTCTACAGACAGTAACTGGAATCCCCATATTGGAATGTGATGAATTTAACATACAACAGATAATGATACTGTTTATTATTACAGTGAATATAGCAGCGAGTAAACAGTACTTACACTATCACGGGGCTGGCATCCTGGGTTACTGATGGTGTGACGTGAGGGCAGTGTGCATCAGTCTCGCCCATATTCCCAGCATGGGAGGCGGAGTTTACACAGAACAGGACAGTTACCAGGATCAAGATATTCTGCAGAAGTTCTGTATCATCAGAAACACAAAATAACGAATGCGTACTAATACTGACAAATAGTACTAATACTGATATATGAGTATCTTTATATGAGGCAAGTACTTTATATGAGACATCTTAAATATTATTTGACCAGCTTTGAAATCTTTTATGTTACCAGTAATTCAGTGTGAGGTATTTTGTTTTTTCTTCTCAAAACATATTCCAGATCAACAGGATGACGTATATGTGTCTGTAGGTGATCGAATCTGTCACCCCCCCGCAAAACTCTTCCTACAGATGGGGACCACAGTACAGCCTGGAGTGTGATGTACCCGTGACGGGGGACCATCTCCTGATACATCGACAACCTACAGAAGATGCGAGAATGCTAAATCTGGGTTTCTGCGAGGTGGAAGTATACGGTAGAAGATATATGTATTTAGTCAATAATGATACATAATTTTGCCCAATCATTGGGATTATTTGTTTGGCACCATTTAGACATAATGGAACCTCGACTTGGCAAAAACGGCTACATATCTTATGGCGAAAACGGCACCAACTAAAATATTATATGGAAAACTAGTTTGTTATTAGATATTTAAATTCAGATAGCAAATACATCTACTGTACCGACAGTGATTCGAGGGAAGTTCACTAACACCACCAGGACGCTGGATCTGACGGGACGTTTCACAAATTGACCGTTGAACATTACTGAAGATATATGAGATCATCCATAGACTGTTTGAGCGGTTGTATATCTTCACAAAACATATAACTGAATCAGCGCAATGCTTACGGTCTGGTTAAATATACTCATGGAAACAAATAAGGGAACACATGAA